CCTCCGGAGATTCGCGCTGCACCCTCGCTGGGTACTTTTAAGAACCAACTAAAAACATGGATGTATAGGCAGGCCTTCCCTTCCAGTTAATTCCTGTCCTCTTTCCTTTTTTTTCCTCTTTATTTGATTTATTTTTTATTTTTCCCATCTTATAGAATCATTTAAATAATTAATTGTTATAAATTTTTAAAGAACTTGTTATCCTTATGTTGTAAGCCGCCTAGAGTGGTCGAAATGACTAGATAGGCGGGGTATAAATACAATAAATAAATAAATAAATAAAAATAAATTTTTGGGCAACTAAAATAAAAAGTAAAATTTTAAAATTTAAATAATGACTTAAATTGTGATTTAAATCAATTTTTTAAAAAATCACTGGTTTTTATCCATCCTAGTCCCCTATATATATACCTGTGTATACAGATTCAGAAATTTCGGAAACCGATTTTTAAGGAAATATGTGATATATTTGGAAAAGATGCTGAATTCAATTCTAAAATTGGTTTGTTGTCAATTTTTGATAAGATAGAACCTGATTATTGTTTGAAGGAATTGATTTCCAATTTTATGACAAGTGCTAGAATATTAATAGCTAGATTATGGAAAGACAAAAATGACATTAAATTAGAAGATTGAATAATGAAGTATGGGACATTGCATTAAATGATAAAATAACTACTGAACTTAAGATGAAAAGAGGGGAAATAAGTTCAATTTTTTTATGCTATTTGGGGTAGATTTGTTGAATTTGTACTAGTGAAAGGAAAGGGGCAAGCCTCTAAACAACTATCAATTGGAAGGAAGATCGTATTAAAAGTATTGTTCTAAGGGTTCCTGTGGGTATGAGGTGCACAGTGGTTTAGATTGTGTAGTAACTTTTTTGCACTTTTGTATTTGTTTTTGTTCTGAAAAAAATTACAAAAAAGTTAAATAATAATTAAAAATTTTAAAATCTAAATCATGACTTAAATTGTGATTTAAATCAATTTTTTTAAAAAAACACTGATTTTTATCCACTGTAGTCCCCTATATATATATGTTTATGCTGTTGATTTTGCCATTTTTTCTGCCGTCCAAATGACATAAGCCTCGAGTTAGTACTAAGAGTAACGAAGAATGACAAAACCCAGAAAAATTGGGGAAAAGCAGGGTTTTCCCCACATTTTTTTTCAAAAGCCATCTATTAGGCTTCAAAATTTCCAGAAATTTTATATCTCTAGCTGGGACTGCATCTTGCCTAGAGATGGGAAGGTCTGGAAAAAAAACCCAGAAAAACATTTTTTCTCCATTTTTTTCCAAAGCTTTTTTATATGGCTTCAAAATTTCTGGAAATTATATATCTCTAACTAGAATAGTTTTAGTTTCCTTTTATTTCATTTTTTAATTGTATCAATGGAGGCTCCAGGATACAAGAAAAATGAAAATACAAAGAACCATTTAGGTGCTTTCATGCTTTGCTGAACTGAGACCTAAGGATTCCAATTTTATATTATAGCTAGCATATTAATCCTCCTTCAGCTTTCCTACAAAAGTGGCTGAAATTCTGTTACTAGCATAGTAAATCGCACTACAATAGGCTAACTGAATTAGAGAAAAGACTATATTTAGCACAGATTGTCTCTATACCAGCATAATAACAGAGGATATTAATATGTAACAAAGAAAACACAAGTAATCATTATTTCCTACCTGAAAGCATTGATAGAAAATGGAGCTCGTTTTATGGGACGTTCTTTTCTAGTTGTTTGGTTAATTTGTTTCATTCCTGTGGACAAAACTAATGTTAGCGAAGTTTTGAGAAAGTGGACAGATAGTATTCCTTCAAGTACTCTTCTTTATACTTATCATAAGAACAGTTTTCTTTAATGGTTCCAACGATAAGTTCTAAAAAGGAACCCAAACTATTTCTATAAAACATTTTAAAAAATCCTTATTGTCAGTGTGTGTGATGGACAGTCCAAATACCTAGACTGTCCATCACAGTAGAACACCGATGTGATAACCAATGACAGTACAGGAGGGCGGAACCAGGATAATAAAAGGGGACAGAAAGACAGTTATAATCAGTTAGAACTAGTGAGGAGACAGTTTAGGCAGTTAGGGCCATGGCTGTGTTAGAGAGAAGAGTAATAGAGAGATAGAGATAAAGAATAGGACAAGTCTTAGATTGTTTATGTAGTTAAGACTGGACAAAGTTAAACGTGCTAAGAAATAAACATTTGAATATATAAATACCTTGATTAAAGTGAATCTACATAAGCAAACTTAAATGTAATAAAAGCAACATTTATTGAATGAAGAGTAAAAGACCATCCATGATTTTCTGTATATGACTTACATACAAACACATCAATAAACATTGTTATATTGGACAACCCTGATCTGATAGTCATATTTGGTATAGAGAGGAACAGATCCTCTAGTGGCAGCGAAAAAGGGTGAAAAGTACATGTCATGCCCGAAAGGGAACCTGGGTGTGTAGAAAAACAAACAGGGGAACTGGGGGTGTGTGACAGTGTATGATGACCCTGTTCTCACTACTGCTTTATACTAATCTATCTTCTTCTCCTCTCCCCTTGTCCAGCTCTTGCATGCATCTATGAATTTACATTTGTACTGCTTTATTAGCCAAGACACTTTCCAAAAGAGGGCAGTTGGCTGCCCCAGCTGTCCTTATGACAGCCAGCAAAGGCTTTTTCTCTTCAGGCAACCTTTTGGCAACTGAATGGCCCATTTAGGAAGGGGATTTAATGGAGGTTGCTGTATTTTTTTATTTCTATGTTTCTGTGATGAGCTTTTAAACTGGTTTAATTCATTGGTTATTTTAATATAATGATATATTTGAATATTAATCGTATTAATTTATTTTTAGTGAGAATCATTTTTAACCACTTAGGAAATCATTTTGGGTTCCTACATTCGGAGAAAGACAGAATAAAAAATAATGATACATATATAATGTATCACATGTATCATATGAAATACTATTTTAGATGTAGAGGAGATTCGCACCTACCAATGATATCCAAATATAAAGTGAATGTCTGTACCATACACTTTTCCAATTGTACCCATTATAAAACTACTTGCTACCAACATTGGACAACTGGTCTCTACATATTGTTTCACAAAAACACCAATAATAGCATGCATATAAAGATATAAAACATACCTAAAAAGTCTAAAATGTAGTTAAATTTTGAAGTTGTGAAAGAAATGGAACCTTGTGGATTCATTTTGAACCTTCTTTCAATCTCTTCACTGCTTAATGAACACTGGGTATTAGAATCAGTCTTTAAAACAAACAGAAAACACATTTTGAAAGGTCACATACAGGGGCAAACAAAAAAAAAGCTCTTCCTTTTTTAAAAATAACAGAAGACTGTATCAGAAGCCAGTATTGTTATTCCCATATTGTAGATAGGGAATTAAGGCTGAAAGACTGCTCCTTGTCAAAAATGTCCTAGTGAATTCATGACAGAGGAGCTCACTGTTCTAGAACAGTGGTTCCCAGTCTTCGGTAACGCAGATGTTCCTGGACTGCAACTCTCTGAAGCCCTCACCACTAGCTGTGCTGGCTGTGGTTTTCGGAAGTTGCAGTCAAGAACACCTGGGTTACCAAAGGTTGAGAACCACTGGTCTAGTACATCTAACAATTTACCACACAAATTTTGTATAAGAAGGAATCATAAACATTGCATAGAGTTGTACAAATTAAGTGTATTCCATGCTTTAATGGTGGCAGATAGAAGGCTGCCATCTTTTATCTACCACCATTGCCAATGCTATCCTCATGGAGACCTCAGCAACCAGCCCCCATACAGTGGAGGAGGCACTGGAGGTACAAGTGCCAGTGGAAGCATGAATGGTGGCAGCAAGACAGGCTGGAGACCCATCCTCATTTCTGACTAGCAAACACTACAAGGCCTCTCTGAAGTAGGGAGTAGGGTGGTTAGGGCCTGTCTTGAAGTCCTGACACTCCACATTGATTGAACACCTCCCACAACAAACTCAGAAATGGAAACTAAGAGCTGGGAAGGGAAAACTGTTCAGCAGGCAAGTGACAGGAGCTCAGCCCTCAGAAGGTTTGGTAGAACTGGGTGTAGCTGGTGGCAATCAGGATTTTCTACCTCATGCCCCTGTTGTAATAAAATCTAATTTGAACAGTTTAGACAGCCTAAAGGCCATGGAAACCCTTGCCAATGATGGTTTGGCCCTGGGTTGGGCAGTCCTAACATCAGTACTATGTCAGACACCTCTCTGCAAGTTTTCTGCACTAAATAGACCTATACAACCTCTTTGAATTATAAGGTTGCATACAGCCTATCAGCCATGCAGAGTGGCCCACAGATAAACCCTCCTTCTCTGCCTAGTGCAGCAAAAACAGAAGGTCATTGATCAATCATCATGATTACTGTTACTGCTATGTTCACATGTGCAAAAAAACTGTGATGAGAAGCAAAACCAAAAAGTCTAAGACACAACTTCAAGAAAGTGAAGTCTTGAATTACTAGATTCCAGATTTATTACATCTACATCAAATATAATAACAGTGTCTATATTATCAAAGAAGATACCACATGAATCACATCTCATTTAATTTTGGAAGCCAAGAGTCAAGCCAGAAATATTGTCCATTTGAGGCAAACATTTCCCATGAGAGAATGAGAAGAATGGAGGTACTATAGGTTAAATGACTACCTCAAACATATGCCATTTGCCACATTCAGCCAAATAAAACCATCCCCACTGGGTGTCTGAGGTATCCATTTCCTCAAGATGATGCGCCACATTTTGAAACAGTTCATGAGATTCTTGAAGCATTTCCTGAAACAGTAAGAACAAAACCATAAGTGGTTTGAAATTTTAACCCAATGATCTACAATGTTTTAAAGATACAGTATATTAAACAGCCCTTGTGACTTTTGAAGTTATTACACAGATTTAATGATGTATAGCTTAGTGTTGTCTAGTGGTTAGTGTTGGAATGAAACTTGAGAGCTCAGATTGAAGCCACAGTTGAGCCACGGAATCTACTGTATGACCTTGGGTCAGGACATTTCCTATCTCATACTGTTGTTGTGAAGTAGGAGAGCCATTTATACTATGTTGAACTCACTGGAGGAAAGGTGGAGTACGAACGAAACAAATAAATGAGTACGGTTTGTGTTGTAAGGAAATGGCAAATATAAATCTTTGAAGACCATAATATAAATGCAAAATTATTTTCATTGTACCATTCAAAACAGTGTTTTATTACTATTGCAATACAAATAGGTATGAGGCACCTATCTGTAGCCTAATATTTTAACAAAGAGCTTCTTGTTCTAAATAACATAAGGTTACCTCCAAATATGGTCAATAATCCTTTCCTTCTCTCTAATTACTTCTCAAATGTACTTTGCTGAAAAACATAAATACAGTATGTGTTTCTCACATCAGTGGCAGCCGATAACGTGGAGGAGAGAGAGAAAAGAAATTATAAGACAGCAGGACGGAAGATGAATTGAATGGAATGTTAAGGTGGCGGACTCAGGGTTGGAATCATTTTTATTTGGTATAATGGAACTCCACCCTTACCACCCATGTCCAATATTTCTAGAAGCAAAGTTGTATCTTCACCAGGAAGTAGATGTCCATTTACCAAGCCAGCAAGGGCAATTGCTTACCCATTATAACCATTTTTTTTTTTCTTTAGAGGATCTCTTGATTTCTTCTCCATCCCATGGCCATGTTCAGTATTTTGATTAAAGGGGTCACTTGTGTTATCCTTAATATATATAAACTGTATTTCCTGATCTACTATTTCTAACTACTACAATGTTAAATCTACTGGAGTATGTTCCTCATAGTATATACAGCAACACTCACCTCAATGCACTCTTCCTTGCCATTCCCATACAGTGGGCATCTAAGAGTTACCATAATCCAAGCATTCTGTTTCACCATGTTTTCAAGTAAGACAACTAGACAAACATTCTGACTTAGAGTCAAGCATTCCCAAGGCTTCCCACACCCCAAATGTATTTTTGTCCTCTTTAAACAGCTTGCTTATGCTGTGCGCCATATTGCACTTGATCTCTATAGAAATAACATAGAACCATTCAATCCTGGGAATGAATTGTCCCTTACTAGGAATTCTTCATTTCTTCCAGCGTCCCTCTCTGATGTCTTGCTTCAAAGTGGTACGCAATCGACATAAAATTAAGTGCCAGCAGTCTTCTCCATTGGCTGAGATACAACCATCTGCAGAAGCTCAGTACTGTATTGTACATTTCAAACATCACCCAGTATGTAACAAAGGACACCCCCACATCATCAAATACTGACACATCAGAGCTTAAACTATCCAGCTGGCCCTGCATCCTTTTTGGCCCCTTTGGTACAAAAAACTATACAGTGGATCATGACCTTTATTAAAAATATAAAAGTGGAAGGGGGCGGTTGCTGGGCAGGGGGAGAACAACTGTGACAGAGCTTTTTCCCTTGTTGATGAGGAAGAGAGAGAAGGGAAACAATGTTTTTTTTCCTATCCAGAACCGCTGGACAATTTCACTTTCAACAACGGAAACAAGAAGTGTGATTGCTCAACACGTCATTTCGCCCCCATTTCTTTTTCTGCCCTATCCTCTCTCTCCCCTCCCCGCCCCCGCCCCATCTCGTTAATGTACTCGGGATGAAGGTTTCTCGCAGGGCCGTTAGCATTGAGGAGCCTCCAATTTAAACCTCCCCCCCCCCGTTTCAGACTGGGGAGGTGGGAGAAGAGCTGGTCACAGCCAATAACAGCTGCCCCTCCCATGACAAGGCTCCGCCCATAACCGCGAGACCCCTCACCGCATCCTCTGCCGCCGAAACGGCGGAATGAGCCGCTCCCAACATCCTCAACTCTTCCGCGGGCTCGTCTTCAGGTGAGTGAGGGGGAGCCGTTGATTAGCCCCGCCTCTCGACACCGCCCACTGCCTGGTTCCTAGAGCAACCGTTAAAATGGAGTCTTCCTGGATGAGGTACCATAGACTTAAACTAGTGTAGACTGATAATTCCGTACTTGGGAAGCAAAATTTCTTGGTCAATTTTGGCACAATGAGTTCTGCAAAAATGACCGCTGCTTTCCATCTATAATGGGGAAAATCGAGGACTCCAATATGACTTGCGATTTGGGGAAGCAAACGCCCCCTTCGGGTGTACGGAAAAAGCAAACGATCACTCTCACGATCATCGTCATGTATTTCGTGTGGAAAATCTGAAAATATTTTCTTCATTTGTAAACTACTCTAGTCCTGCAGATAGAGTGCCCACTCACTCTTCTCATAGAGGGAAGATAGAGAGGAAGACTTCGAACAGCTTTGCAGTGCAGCCCACTGTTCATATCACCGCATCATAGTCTAGGTGGTTTGTCACAAAAACCCTTCTATTATCAAACGTTGGACGTGACATACAGACCGACAGTGACAACAATCCGGCTATGTCGTTCGGTGTTACGAGCCCCGTATCTGATACATACAATACAAGAGAACCTTAACACAGCGATTTCTGTTACTTTGGAACACCTCAGTAACGTAAGTGTTGCAACTTTTTCCTAGTTCAATCAAGATCGTTGAATGTTGCACTATACTATTGTTCTTTCCCCCTTTCGAAATATACAAAATGCAGCAAACAAAATAAACAAAATGCAACTGAAGTTGTTGCACAGATAAATCTGGTTGTCTTCTTTCTTTACACCCCCAAATTCAGAATTTCAGAGTTACAACTGCGCCTACAACTCTCCTCCATGGTCACTAATAAACAAAGGGGAAGACTACATGTTATTTTGTCCCTGGCAGTTGCCTTCCTTGGCTATAAAGAAAAGGGGGGAAAAAAAGCCTCTCATCTTGCCTCCTTCTGTCTCCACCCTCCCCCTTCCCCGCCTTATTGGAGGAAGCTTTTACATTTTTTATTTTCTCTAAAAGGTACAAATAGGGTCACCATGCCATGTTGATGCAAAGTTCACACCACATACCATGAACCTTCTCTACTGAACCTTAAGCAATCCTATCAGCTGCCCGTTTCAGCTTTGCCCAAAGACATTAAAAACAATTTTGAAAACATTTAAAAAACATTTTAAAATATCTGAATTTTAAAAATAGAGCATTCCCTAGACCAGTGATGGTGAACCTTTATGAGCCCAAGGGCCCAAATTACAACACAAAACCAACTTCTTTCAGAATGCCAACACTGCAATTAAACCTGAATACAGTGGACCCTCTATTTACGGAATTAATCCGTATTGGAATGGTGGCTGCAAGTTGAAAAGTCTGTAAGTCGAATCTCCATTGACCTACAATGCACTGAAAACCGATTAATCCCATAACCAGTGGTTTTTATTCTATTTTTATTCCATTTTGGTTTTTTTCTGGTCTGACCAGCCAAAATCTGAGATTGGTAGACAGGCATTTCTCAATGGTGACTTATGGCTCACATGTCCACAGAGAGGGCTCTGAGTGCCAGCTGTGGCACACGTGCCATAAGTTCACCATCACTGCCCTAGACACATATCGCTTATGATAAGATTGTTTATGACAATATTGTTCTGTTTGCAAAGCTGGTAAAATAATATAGAGGATAGACTTGTTACCCAAGCAGTAAATCCCCCCTCTCCACATCACTGAAGTAATTCAATGGAAAGGCAAGAGCCAATACAACTGGTTCCAGATATATAGTAGGAGTTGCCAGAGCGTGACTGTGCAGAGTCACAAACTGCCTCCGGGACTCTGGAGTAGGAGTTGCCAGAGTGACTGTGTGGAGTCACAAACTGCCTCCGGGACTCTGGCTCCGGATTCTGCCTTGAGGTTAACTCCTGAAGCCTTTTCCATCAGTGGATATAGCCACAAGGCAGTGGAGGTTTGAAATTGGAGTTTTCCTTCTCCAGATGGGCTGCCTTCCAAGGCTTCCACCTACCTGTTGTTCTGTTTACAGTGAAATTTAAAGTTTTATTTTGAAAAAGAGAAGCCCAAAATCTTCATTTGTGCATGACTGAGTACTGGCATGTCTGCCCCTGAATAAATGGCCACAGGAATTTCTTTGGCAGCAGACACACTAGTGCTTAGTTCTCATGTTGTGTGAGAGTCTTAAAGGGTAGTGGTGGCAGCTTGAACTCATTCCTGCCAATGCAAATAAATGGCATTCTCACTCAATATCGGAGCAGATGGGGCCATGTCTTGAAACCAAGGGCTTACAGTTGCTTCGTAGCTTACTCTGAATGTTGCAAGTCATCTCAGCTGTCAGCATATAGCGAACTTTATCCAGATCTGACCTCCCTTCCAGCTTTAATAAAATTGGAGCTATTAACCTTGATCAGCCAATCAAGTGAAGTGGCAAGTGATCTTTAATCCCCTAATTGGAGCTCTTAACCAATCGAGTGAAGTGGCAAGTGATCTTTAATCCCCTCTTCCTATTTTACCAGACACTAAACATAACAAAACAAAACAAAGGCATGTATCAAATGCACTTATTTCTTCCTACTTCTATGTGTGTTATGCGTCATCAAGCTGTAACCAGCTTACAGAATTTTCAAACTAAATGAGCAGTTTAAGGAGTGGTTTTAGCAGTACTACTCCCCCAGGTGAGTTTCCATAGACCAGGGATAAAACCCACTTCTCCTGAGTGCCAGTCTGTCACTTTATCCGCCACACTGGGTACCACAGTTCAATGTGCTAAAGCACATTTCTTTCCCTGATGAAGGGAAAGAAAATCAAGGAGTAGATTTGATGGTCATTGATTCATGTTACTAAAGGCAAGGAGCAAATTTATCTACTTCCCCAGTGGTATGACTAAGTACTGTACTTTCCCTCACATATGTGAATGGCAGGTTATATTGCAATGAAATCCTACCCTACAGTCAAGGTCTTGGGGAAATGAGGCAAAAATTTGAAGCCAGATCTCATAGCTATGACTTAGGGCAGACCCCTGTTCAGAATGGAAACTTACTGGGGATTGGCAATGGTAAAACTACTCTATAAATACCTCACATACTTTGAAGATCATATTGGGTTTGCCACATTTGAGCCCTTTGTATTTGTATGCTCATCACTGTTAGCATTAAATCCTGTCCTTTCATGATGTAAGCCACCTTGGGTCCTTTTTAAGAAAAATGATGGGGTAAAAATATTTTGAATAAATAATAAACAAATCAGTTGAATGATACTTGGTGTACATAACAACACCTAATTTCTAGTCCAGCATTACAGCCTCTATACCACACTGGCTCCTTATTCTTATACATGATTAATTTTATATATTTTCTCTTTTACTCTAAGGTTTCAAAATATGTAATGGACAAAATAATTATACATTTGGTTTGGGGGGTTTTTAATGTGTGTGTTTTTTCCCTTAGCAGATAGGTGTGGCATCATGATCAAAGCTGGAACAAAAGCCAGTTAACTCAATGTGAGTCAGGAGGCAAGATGGAGCACCTCCTGCTGGAACTCTGACCATGCCCACAAAGGAAAGAGAGTGAAGGGGACTATGGACTGGCAGCTCCCTCAAAGAACATTACGGAGGATTCCCCGAAGGGGGATGAACCATCCCAGGGCCTAAGAGGGATAGGAGAGTTAAAACAAAATTTAGAAAGACTGAGGAGGAGGAGGAAAGGGAAAAAAGATGGGGGAGGAGACAGAAGCAGAAGAAGGAGATAAAGAAGGGACATTACCACCAGGTTGGGAGTGGATCTGATTAGAAGACCCTTGGACTCACAGGTGGGAAAGACTGAAAGGTACCCAGGGACAAAGCATATCATAGAAGAAGGGCACTGATTCCCCCGAAACCTTCATACTGGGGAGAGGCCAAGGCAAATGAGTAGAGAAAGAGACTAAGGGAAGAGAGATAGACAGCAGAGCAGGAAATAAGGGAAAGGAGTGAATGGTGAGTGTGGGAGATGAAGAGCAGAGTCGACAGAAACTGGGAAATCGTGGAACCCAGGGAGAGAACTAAGCAGGAGGAATTCTTGAGAGAAGTGGCCGTGGCCGTTGCCTGTATTGATGGGGATGACAATAAAGTACTAGTTACCAGCTGAACAACTGGGCCGCTGGAATTCAAATTTTGGAAATCCTTTTGTTCATGAAGAGTGGAAACCCTTTCCAGCCCAGTTGGAGGGAAAGGAGAAAGATGGTGTTCCAGTAGGAATAGATTGTTTATTTGATCATTCCAAAATAAACCTTCAACTGTTATAACAACCATCGGTGTCCGTGTTTAGGGATTGGGGATCGAGAGAGGAAGAGAAACAACTAGAGATTCAACATGAACCCTCACACTCACTTAAGTACTAGCAAGATAGATTCCTGAAAATGGTCCCAGTTAATTGTATCACAGTAGCCTAATCTGGAGGTTATCAGAAAGTGGATAACCACAACCAAGAGGAATCCAGACTACTGTTTCAAAGCTGGATTTATCCATGCCCTTACACAACAAAGGTAATCCTGTCACAAGAAAGCAAACCTCCTCGGAATATCATCTCCCTGGACAAGTGAAGTTGTGATGTGAATAAGGTACAGATACAATAAAATAGAGAAAAGCAGCCATTAAGTTGCAGTGAAGCAGACGTTTAGGTTGGTCTCTAACTTCCTGACACTTTGCATTCTTGGGCCCCTAGTTTATATTTGCTGTACCTATCTCCAGCTTCTCCTGAGAGGAGAGAGAAATAAAAAACTGTGCTGAGGAATGTCTACTGATAAGGGCTACTCTAGTTTTGTTAATGCTATATGTCTGCTATATCTATTGTATGTATATCCTCTTTTAGGCCTTTTCTTTTCTTTTAGGGAATAACAAAATAGGAGTAGGCTTTGCGGAGCCTGCCAACATAAAGTAACATGACAAGCCAAAGGTATAAAAAGCTGCTACATGCCTTTGTTAAGTGTTCCCTCCGAGGGCACCCATATGTGCACATATGTCCTGAGCCCAAATAAACAGGTTTTCTGTTTCAAGAAACCTTCAGACTTTTGCTGTCTGTTCACTGTGAATGCTGCACCTTTTGGGTGACAAAGTACATAGAAATTCCATCTTGTTTGGGCTTCAATGTATTGGGTCTCATGTACAGTAATCCATTATTTACTCCCAAGAACATTGGCAATTCTGGCTTGATTTTGATCCTCGTTTTGGTCTCTCGCAATTTATAACAGCCGCCCACAAGAAACAATGAAAAAATTGTGGATACAAAGAAACATGCAGACGCACACACAATTAGTCTCATGTTTATTACTGTCTGTTTATACTGTACGATGCGCTTCACTTTCATGCCCGCAGGAGAACTTTCCAACCAACAACAGCGAAGTAAAATTTTGTTCCCGCTTGCAGCAGTGATCTGCTGAAGTTAACCCCACGGAGCCCAGATTCCCAACCCAATTTATCTCTGAACTGCTTGCGGAAGCCAAATACTCTATTAGTTTGGACGGCTCCAAATTATTTCACATACTTTTCAATATTACAAAATTCAGTAACTTAAAAAAAAGCAACTTTTTATAAATAAATAAATAAATACATTTGATGAGCAAAGAGCAGCTTCCCTGCTATCGTTTGTCTTTCGTCCCACTACAGCAAAGCCGAAATCCTAAATTTGTTCTGTAAGGGCGACTGTTATCAGCTGTCGGTAACTCACGACAGCAAGGTCAGAAGCAACCAGAAAGTTCCGGGTATTGAGCTAGCAGCCCTTCTTAAACTTAATTCTAGGACCCTCAAAAGAGAGTCGGGGGGGGGGGGCCGCTTNCTGATTCCAACCGAGAGGCGCGCGCGCGCCGCATGACGTCATCTCCCCGCAACCGTCCGTAACCGGAACCGGCCCGGTGGGCGGGGCTTTGGGGGAGGCCTCGAAAGGAGAGCGGAGGATCGCTGAGCCTTGCACTGCCGGGAAGCGGCCAAGTGAGTGGCAGGAGCGAAGCCGGCCACATGGTTGTGTTTAGATTAACCGTCGTTCGGCAGTGAGTACCGCGGTTCTCTCTCCCCAATTATTCCCCCCCCCCTCCGCCTTCCCTTACTAGCTTCCCTCGGCAAAATAACGCAGGGCGAGACAGCCTTGCGGGAGTCTCTTCCCCCCCCTTCCGTGCGGGGAGGGAGCGTGGGATACGTCTGCGCGGCTCTCTTGCGTGTCGGGCAGCGGCAGGCGCGAGTGCCAAAGGGGAGGTGGCATAAAATGGCACCTGACGTGTCATGACCTGTTACTGTATTCTGTGCCTGGAAGGTTTTCTCGCCAGTGGAAGCGGCTCTGTGCACATATGAAGAGCCACTCTGTCAGTCCTGTAAGGGTAACGACTTTAACCCGGCATTTTAGGTTTACTTACTTGCAAGCAAGCAAGCAAGGACTGCATTGACGTTCTGGGTTATTGTTTCTGAGAGAATTGCGCTTTTCTCCAGTTTTTCTGAGAACAGAAACTGTTGCTAAGAGGGAGCAGCAGATGAAAGCAAAAGGACTGTCTGAAGTGAAACCCTCTCAGACAAAAAGCTTGTTGGTTCCCTTTCTACTTTATAAAGAGTAGCAGTGACTCTAGCAGTTTTCCCCTCTCATTAAGAGTTAGAGAAAGGGATGTTTACCTGCCACTTCTGTTTTGAAATAAAGTTTTTTTTTTAAGTGTATATACCGCCCCATAATGGTTAAAGCATTTGCTGGGCAATTTAATCTTCAGTTCAGCTAAGTGTGTTACATATTGCTGCCCCTCACCCTTGGCAAGCTGGGTATTTAGTTTGCTGACCTTGAAAGGATGGCAGGCTGAGTCTACCCTGAGCTGGCTACCTGAATCTGCTGGGATCAAACACAGATCATGAGCTGAGTCTTTTACTGCAGTACTGTGGTTTAACCACTGCACCACGAAGAAGCCTGTTGGCAAGGTAAAAAAGTTGTAAAAAGAGAATCTTGTTTACTTTGTTGCCTTACATGAGTGGTTGGAACATAAAATGAGAAAGAGACTCACCAGTTTGTCCACTGTCCTACATCTAGCATTCAGCTCTTTGGGTGCTTGGCAGGAAGGAATCGTTTGAGCTCATCAAGGGTTTGAGCCTATGAGGATCAAACATTATGTTGCACAGAGTATAGGAAGCTGCATTAATCTGATGGCATGCCTTCTCTTTCTTTGTGTAGCATAGATGGTTTGTCACCAAGAGAGCAGCCATCTCACCTGTTTCTCAGTCATCTCTCTGCTTCCTCTGAGTTGTGAGGCCCAGTTAGCCCAATCTTCTGCATCATCCAGTGAGAGAGAAGGCAAGATGGTGGAACTGGTGGCTGCTCCTCTGGTTGGTCACCATTTGCTTGCTCATTCTTGCATGGCTAATCCCTGCTTTCTTCTCTGCATCACCCAAAACCACAGGATACAGTGAGATGCAAGGAGAAGGTGGATGAGTGGCATGGAGCAGAAATAATCACTGTCCAGTCCTTATTGTCAAGAAAAGAAAAGGAGCCAGTGGCTTCTGCCAAGCTAGTAACTGCTTTCTCTTGCTTGCTGTGTCTCACGGTCAATGGCATGCTGCTGTGGGAGCAGAAATGGGGACCCTTGAGTCAGAAGATGACATTGGCATCTCCTCTTCTTATTTCATTGCCATTTCTAGGCACTCTCTGTGTGTTGTATGTAAGAGCTGTTCCTCTGCTATTGCCCAGAAAAAAATGTTTTCCATCACGGCAGTATGGTAACGAGACTCTGCCCAGTGAACTAAATCTTCTGAGGGTAGGAGAATATGAGGAAGACAGTATGGCACTTACTGCTTGCATGATTATTTAGTTGCAGCAAGGAATGGGCAAAGTGATAGTTGTCTTCGATTGTTCACCTGTTTGCTCATCCTTTCTATGAACATTGCAGACTTTGGCTTAGCAAGGCCTTTCGGGGGCAGGGGTAGTGCAACTCATTCTATTTCTGCCACTGTGAGTGCTGCAGGGTGGGAGGAAGCATGCAATCAAAAGATTTGAAGATCAGTTGCTACTTCTCCCTGCTCATACTCTGTTTCACATATATTAGTGTGATATATTAGATTAATTTGGCCAAGTTTTTATCATTATGCCAGTTGGAGGGGGGAATGCAGGTGAGTGACTTGATGAGATTAGTGATTGTTGTTTCTTCTGTTACTATATTTTTTAATACTCCATTGTTCAGTGAGAGATATTGAACAAATAGGCAGTTGCAGTTGTTTGCACTTTCTCTCTGGATATCATTATCAGATTATTTCACCTTGCTGTGATGCCCAAAGTGGGTGAACAAGAGGCAGCAGCATCTATTGCATTGGGGGGGGGCTGCCCATCAACACAAATACAGTGGTGCCTCCACTTATGAACATCCCTACTTATGAAAATTTTGAGTTACGAAAAGCTCCGGCCACAAAATATTGCTTCGACTTGCATCCGGAGCTTCAAGTTATGGATGAAAAATGCGGGGGAGGCGGGGAAAGCATGAAATTTGAACTTTCTGTTAACCGTTGGCCAGCGAAGAGGCTGCTTGTCTGCCACCTCGCTCTCCCCAGCGGTTAGAGAGTGTGGATATGGAAAGAGACTTCAAACTGCCTAATGTGAAAATTAGAATGTAATTTTAAAATGTATATTTTATTTATTTATTTTGCATTCTGTGGCTCCTAAGGTTTGTGTACTGTGACCTCTCTTTTGTTTTAAATGAGTGTGTTTAAAATGTGGCTCCAAGGTCTGTCTCTTTTAAAATCAGAAAATATTCTGTGAGGGTCTGTGTTGCTTGTTGATGCAGGCAGGCTTTAAAATGGAGTTTAAAGCCTGCCTGCTTGCTGGACTCTGTGGCTTCTAGGGCTTGTGTACTGTGACATCTCTTTTGTTTTAAAAGGTGTTGGTATGTGGGTTCTAACGTCGCTTGCTTTGTTTTAAAATGTGTTTTGTTTAAAAGTTCCTTGGTTTAAAATGTATTGTTGTAAAATGTGTTGGTTTAGCATATGTTTTAGACTCTCTTCCTCCCCTTGTCTTCTCTCTCTCTTTTCTCCCTTTTTGTGCTTAAGAGCACAAACCTTTGTGTGTTCCGGTGATGACCTTCTTTCTTTCCTCTTTTCCCCATTGTTCCTTCCCCCCCCCTCTTTTCCTGCCCTTTTTGTAATCTAAAAGGTGCTTGGATTTGTTTAAAATGTGCTTGGGTTAAAAAGATGTTCTGTTTCGAAGGTGTTCCCTCCCCCCTCCTTCCTTTCCTGCCCCCACCCCTTTTTAACCTAAGTTCATTTTAGGTCGAAAGAAGAAAAATTCTCCCCCTAGTGGTAGAGTACAGATTAATCGGCTTTGCATTAGTTCCTATAGGAACTAATGCTTTGACTTAAGAACGGTGCCTCTACATAAGAACCAAAAACAGCCAGAATGAATTAATCGGTTTTCAGTGCATACCTATGGGAAATTTTGCTTCGACTTACAAAAGTTTTGAGTTGCGGCCACTGTTCCAATACGCATTAATTTCGTAAGTCGAGCCACCACCGTAGTAAGGCTCACAGAAGGATGTGATGTCCTAGACCTCAGTTTCCTGGCCCTGTGTTAGGACATAAATAAAATTCTGTTCTGTTTCACACATTGGTCCCAGCAAAGTCCTCTAAAGTTCTATTGAGGTAATTGAGCATGTTTATGAGTCTTTCTTTTTGAATCCAGTGGCCAAAATCCTATTGGCATAAATTTATTTCTTTTTA